CACTTGTAGGTTCTATGAGGACACTCTTCAGAAAGAAAGAAAGAAACACAAAGTCAGTTTCAATTATTAAGCAATATGGAAAACAGAACCTTACAATAATCTATCCCTCCTCGGCTACGTTGGTTGGATCCTTCAAAAATGCAGCTACATCAGTGTTGGATCCTCCAATAATGCATAATTTTGTGAGGTTCCGGCACTCGCGAGACAGCATTTTTGAAGGATTAGCGCAACATAGCTTCTCGAGCCAATCATCATAGAAGATAAACCAATTTTTTGGATAAGTTTATATTTCCCAATGAAATAGAGAGTATTGTCAATCAAGCTAACAAAACGAGGTCAACTGAATGTAAGAGTTACATGTCTCAAATAATATCCAAACAAGAAGAATATCAATAACTGACCTCACCAGGTTTGATGAGGCCTTTTTCCTCAGCATCTTTGATCATACTATAACCAATCCTGTATATAAAAATAGCTCATAAGCATTCAGCTGAAAAAACCTCTACAAGACCAGGCTCTAAGAACATTCAAGGGCCCAAATGATTCTTGTGAATGGAAAAACGGTAGCCAGAAGACCAAGCTTTAATGGGCCTTACGCAACACGAATCCAAATTAATCAGGACCCCAATGCGGGTACTGGATAGTGAGTAAAACGGTAGCCGGGTGCACAAAGCACCCCGCATTTACGCAGGGTCCGAGAAGCAACAACAACTTACCTAGTATAATTTCACAAGTTGGGTCTAGGGAGGGTAGTGTCTACACAGCCTTACCCCTACCTTGTGCAGGCAGAGAGGCCGTTTTCGATAGACCCTCGGCTCAGGGTCCGGGAAGCAAAAAAAAAATCAAGTGTCCGTATGATTCTTGTGAGAACAATGAACAAACTTTGTAAGAAATTAGACGTCAGGCTACAATCTAGTGGTACGAGCGCAATGCATGATGCCTGGATCAGGCGCATGCCACGGGTTCGAACCATGCTGCATACGAAAACATAATATTTAAGTGGAGAAGGGTAAGGGGGGGGGGGGGGAGGACATTATCCACCGAGTTTCGAACTGTGTGTCCCTAACGCTCCGGATTTCTCGGTTATTAAGAAAAAGAAAAAAAATTCTAAGAAATTATCCAACACAAAACCAAAATGTATTACCTATCCTTGACACTGGAGCATGGTTCCATCATTTCCAGCTTAGCAGCAACACGCGCAACACAGCCATCCACAATATTATTCAGGTAAACTAAAGGAGTTTTACCAATCAACTGTGCCAAAAATAGCCTCAAAATATTATCAACATTCTAAAACACAATGGTTTGTACAAGAAAATGATAAACTTACTTCTGTTACATCCTTAGCAATTCCAATCTTTTCCTCGGCCATAATTTTAGATTAATTCTGCAATTGAACTGTAGAAAATCTGAGTGAAAACAATGTTATGAATAATTATAGTTTGTTTTATTGAATTAATTAATCTGTAAACAATGATTCATTAGCCGAAGGGGACCCTTGGCGTAGCTGCTAAAGTTCCTTCCACGTGACCCTAACCAAGAGGTTATAGGTTCGAGTCGTAAAAACAACCTCTTGCAAGGCTGCATACAATAGACCCTTGTGGTCCCGCTCTTCCTTGGACCCCATAACGGGAGCTGAGTAGACCAGCTGCCCCTTTAATGATTCATTAGCATGCAATTTCATCAAAACAATTTATTGGAAATCTCAAAAAAATTATTTCTCATATTACAAATAAGAATCTGAAATTTAAGAAATAAATGGATATACTATTGAAATGAATCAAAAAGAAAAAGGGAAAAATTACCTAGAATTTTGAGAATGACAAAGGAAATGGAACTTGAAGGCAAATGAAGGCTAAGAGTGTAAAGTTGACAAAGGCCAGAGTTTATGCAATTGTCCTACGAATATTACGATTTTTAGTTACTGATTTTAGTGATTATTTGACTTGCCTTAATTGCCTTATACAGTATTATTAACTGAATGTATCAGTCAATGAACCTTACCGCATTATGTGCTCAAATACAGATATTTTCTCCGCGGACATAAGTAGCTTATTCGTATCTTTTTGGAATTAAGTATTTATAAGGACATTTCAATTGATTTTAAGAAATTGAAAAGGACCTTTCAATTAACTTTAAAAAATTATAGATTATATACATTTTGAGCAAATGTTTGTGTTAAAAAATTAAGTACTACTAGGCACATTTTGAATATAGGTGGAGCGTCTAATAGGAAACAGCGACATTTAAAGTGTCCAAATAAAAAGATGTGGCAGGATTATGGATCTTTTATGGATTTGGCCTAAATAATTAAAAAAGATGATTATGCAGTGAATAATAATACGGAAATTGCCTAGTATGAATGTATTTTTCCTTTAAATACTCTTATTTATATATTTCTATTGCACATTCTTGTTCCACATTTTATCTCACGTAAATAATTGTCCTATGGTGTATATAGGTTCTTGCATAATTTATTCGGGTATTAATTAGCAATATGGAGTTCAATAGCGCCGATTAAACGTTACATTAGTTATGCTAATATATCAATCAAATGTTGCATTAGTTTACTATTTTTTTTTCTTATGAGGTCAATAAAATATTGTACTACTTATGAGAAATCTTATATTAAGATTATCATTGTTTATGCAGAGTTTTATGTTGGACGTGGGAATCTACTACTACTCATAAAGGACAATTTGGTTACCTTTACGAAATTGACCATAGAGTGTAAATAAAGTGGAAATGACAATAGGTAGTCATTTTTAAGCATGTTGTTTAAAATATATCCACAATTTACGATGTATTTAACGATTAGCCAATTCGCTCAAACTTCAGGACACGGCGTCCTGAAGTTTAAACCTCAAAGTTCAAACTTCAGCACATCGGTCCTAAAGTTCGAAAATTATGCCAGAAGTTCGAATCTTATGTCCTGAATTTTATATTAGCAGCTCAAAAGTTCAGGACACTTAGTCCTGAATTTCAAATTAGCTGCTCAAAAATTTAGGACGCTAAGTCCAAAATTCCAAATTCAGGATATTTAATCCAGAAGTTTGGATAAAATGGCTAATCTTTAAATACATTGTAAAAACAGCAGCCTTAAAAGTGGCTACTGGTGCACTTAGCCCATAAATAAAGTAACAAACAGTAGAGTCCAAATTGGTAAAAATTTGCAATTTAGCCGAGCAATAACACAGTTACAGGAGTAGCCCATTCCCAGACTCTAAACCAAAATCCACCAATTAACTCCCAATACAACCTTATCTTCTCATCCATACATTTTATCCACACCCACAAACCTTCCCTCCTCATTTCCCTCGCTAAACATGGCAACACTTCATTTTACAACCTCTCCATCTTTCACTCTCATCTCACCAAAAAACCAAGCCAATGTTGCTGCTGCTATTCATCTAAACAATCCCTGGAAAACCAAAAATCGTCGAATATCAACCTTTATCCGGGCTTACAAAGTATTAGTAGAACATGAAGGTAAAACCACAGAGCTGGAAGTTGAACCTGATGAGACAATCTTGTCTAAGGCTCTCGACGTCGGCATGTCTGTACCATATGACTGCAACCTAGGAGTTTGCATGACTTGTCCAGCTAAGTTACTCAGTGGGAAAGTGGATCAAAGTGAAGGTATGCTCAGTGATGATGTTGTGGAGAGAGGTTATGCATTACTATGTGCAGCTTATCCAAGATCAGATTGTCATATTAGAGTTATACCTGAAGAAGAACTTTTGTCTCTGCAACTAGCAACTGCTGATGACTGAACCTGAAGATCACTCCTGTTTTTGTTATTCCATTTTTGACTGATGTAGAAACTGATATAAGATGTTGTACTTCTTGAGGAATTCAATGCAAAAATATGTGTTGTTTGTTGCTATAAATTGTTTACAAAAAATACATCTTTCATCTCTGCGTAAGGCATTCGAACATATAAATGAATCAAAAATTGCTACGTTGTTACAGGTGTGCTATCAAAGGTTGTAGTCGGTTGGTAAGTACCCTTTCATCCTTAACCAAAGGTCTCGCGTGGTTGTGAGCACTTTACCCCCTAATGTGGGACTTTCCGAATCCGAATGTCGGGCCCCAAAGAGGATACTGAACACCAGGTGCTAAACCAACGGAAAATCTAATTTTTTGTTCTTTCTATCATACTAATTACAAAGAATGCTAACATGTAAAGCAGATTTCTCCATTAACAGCAATGTATTTTCATAAAGAGAATACAAATTGCAGGAAATAAAAGATTTATTCTAGGGGTGTGCATTCGATTTATCGATTCGATTTTGACCCTTATCGATAATTACTTATCGATTATCGATTTGTACATATGCTTATCGTTATCGTTTCACTAAGGTTTCGATTTTTTCGATTTCGATTTATCGATTTTGGGGGCTTATCGATTCGGTTATCGATTACACCAATAAGAAAATTTGCGGGATTCCACGGAAAGTATATCGTTATAAACGCGCCTAACTAATATGGACAAAAAGAAGCTAAAATAAGACGAACACCATTTATAATATAAAAATTGTGTCAACAAGCACATGCAACAAAACTAAAGTAAGGGATCAAATGTATGCCACCAACACTCCAACGGTATAAAAAAAAACAAAACAAAACAAAACACATCATCACGGCTAATTCCGTTTTCCATTAATTTGAACTTCATTCCCTTGATCTTTAAATATGATCATTCCTTAAACGTGGTAGAAGAAATAATAGGGTAAGGGACTTAGGGTAAAGGAAAGGCTATAGATTAGGGAAAATAATATTGTATAGCCGCTTTCAAAATAGTAGCGGAATATATATACATTCTGTATGTTATATTAATCTACACAAATAGGTAATTACTCATTTAACAAGTGTCTACAGTCTAGGGGTGTGCATTCGATTTATCGATTCGATTTTGACCCTTATCGATAATTACTTATCGATTTGTACATATGCTTATCGTTATCGTTTCAATAAGGTTTCGATTTTTTCGATTTCGATTTCGATAACAAATAATCGATTCGATTTATCGATAAACCGATTCGAATGCACACCCCTAATTTATTCCCAAGTTTGTAACTACTATTGATAAAGACTGAATTTAGGGAAATGTTCTGCAACCTCGCAAAAGAGGTAGTAATACATCTCTGACCTTGTTCTACTTACTATATTGCTCTGTTTGCGAGCTTATAAGACGTTGATAAAGTTCCTTGTCACTTTTAATTTCATCCTACATAATGTACGATGACCACCTAAGCTGTCGGGCGGTGGAAGCCAGGTTTCTTGGTTTTCCTCTGCTTAATCTTCACCTTCACATTGATGCCATTGTGAATAATGGACTGAAGAACAATCTCAAGTTTCCCTTCCAATTTCTCCCCTTTCCTTGGCGTATAAACTACGTTATGAATATCATCAGCCAGTGCTCTTTGAGCCAGAACTTCCCCAATAGCAGCACAAGTAGCTCTATTCTTAGTTGATCCCAAGTCAAATTTCATGTCTTTTGAAATAGAGTGCGCCACAACAACAACCTTGCTAGTAGCTCTGTGGATAATGCTAGCACTTACTGAACCTTTCGACACATAAATATCCAAACAAAATGGCTCGTGATAAGGGGCAGTAAGCTGATTAAAAGTTGGAACCCTTAACCTCTTTATTGGAGATGCTCCGAATTCATTTAGCTGAAAATCCTGAAACGGAGAGGCAGAGTTATAGCTCAGTTTCTCTTTCTTGTTTTGCTTCTTCTCATCTATACCCTTTAGACCTTTCTCGACCCTAGAAGCTGAAACGTTATTCGATTTTTCCTTCTCTTTTGGACCGTCGTTTACATTATTCTTGTTCTTATTCCTTCTATGGAATTCGAACTTATATTCTTCGTATTCCTTGGAATTTTTATCAAGCTTGTAAAACAAGTTCCCGCGTATCCTCATATCCTCAATCTCATCAAAGTCATGACCGTCCTCGTTCAAAGACGCATAACTAGTCGCCTCATCATCAATTTCAGTTTCAATGGAAAATGACTTTTTCTTGGATGCAACATTTGTGTTGTCTCGCCAAGCCTCAGCTAAACCAGAGGACACCCTCCAAGTCTCATTATCCACTAATTCAATCTTGCAATCCTTTAAAGAATCCTTATTAATATCCCTATACAATGGTGAAAGGTGAAAAACCCTGTTATCAACATTTGCAGCAGCTGAATAGGGTTTACTATCATCGACGAAATTATGTTCATTTGGCACTTGACAAGCTCTTGTGGGTCTTGAGGAATATGAACATACTCTTAGAGGAAAATGGGAATTGAGTATACAAGACAAGTTGATGAGTTGTCTTCTGAATAACATGAATGACATTGAAGAAATCAACTAGCAACAGCTCAACGTAGCATAAAAAGTGCTGAAAAGTCAATGTCTTTGCTTCAACTTCTTTGAGACAATGTATCGAACAGTTGGTGGGGAATGACTACTGTGGTCTAGTCTTATAAGCTCAACGAACGGTCAGTTGCACAGATCACTGCCGATAGATTTCTCGCCGACTAAACATAAATTCGCGGATCAAATATAAATGATTTTGGCCTAAACTTTGGGATTGAAGAATTGTTGCTGTTGTTTTAAAATGTTGGGTTGATTCTCTCCTAAATCATAACTAAGAGGAAAAGGAAACATTCATAAAGTGAGGATTTTCGATTCTTACTCTCATATTTGGGCATTCTTTATAAGAAATTATTGTGTCACATTTTATGTGACCTTGAATGAATAAATATAGAGTTTAAGGGGAAATTTTTTGAAACTTGTGATTTAAATATATTATAAATATTTTTATAAGTTTTTAAGCTATTTTTTTTAAATTAAAAAATGTGTTATTCTTTTTTAAACAAATTAAAGAGAAAAATATGTCACATAAAACTTGTCAGAAGTACTTTCTTTTAGTTTTGTATTCTGTCCGTCTCATATTAACAGTCGTGGCTACTAAAAATAGTTTTCCCAAATTATCTGTCATTTTAGAAGTTCAAGACAAAATTGATTGTTTTTTTTCTTGTTTACCCTTACTAATAATTGTTCTTGAAGATGGAGATACACATAAATAGAATAAATATTCAATAAAGAGAGATTATATCTTAAGACATCAATAAGGGTAGAATAGTCCAATCCCTTTCTTAATTAGTTCTCCCTCCGGTATAGGTGACCAATTTGCCTTGGGCACACCTATTAAGGAAATACTAAATTCTAGATAAAAAAAGTTAGTGTGACTAAACTACCCTTAATTAAATGTTGCAGCATAGTTAATATGAGGAGTAAAAGACTTTTTAGGGATACGTACATAAGGGTAATTTTGAAAAAATAAATTGATTTTTTCTTGATTATATAAATGGACACTTATTTTGAACCAAAATAAAAAGAGCAAATTATGCTTTATACCTATAAAAGACAAAATATTTACCCGTATCTACCCATGTTCATTTCTTTTACATTTTATACCTATGCGGCACATTTATTTTACCCGCACTACCCATTCTTATCTTTTCCATTGTTTTGCATGAACATTCATGTTCTCAGATTCATATGCACCTTTGTTGTAAGTGCATCACATTTTCGTAATACGTTTTATCATCTTATCATAATAATACTAATTAAAAAATAATATAACATAAAATTATAAAAATATATGAACCTGGAGAGCACAAAAAGATATTATTATTATTATTTTGAAAAGGTATCCATCAATGTTATGCTCACACATTGAATATCCACCATTGTTGGGCTTGAAGCTCAATTTTATTTTTGAAGATTTCTGTTTGATTCAAAGTGGGTGCTGTAAAATATTGCTTTATAGTACCTTCTGGAAAGTTTCATATTGAAAATTGATAGAGTTTTGGACTGATTGAGGTGAATCGAAATTTTCAGTTGAAAATCGAAGAAGAACACAGCTACAATATACCGCTACGGTATACAATATGCTGTAGGAGTATATAGCTATACTGCAACACTATACTATTATAGTTTACAAAATAGTGTACCGCTACAGTATACTAATATACTATAGGAGTATGTAGTTATACTGCAACAATATACTATTATAGTATACAATATATTGTTATGGTATACTGTAATAATATGCTATACAGTATACTGTAGGAGTATATAGCTATACAGTAACAATATGTTGTAATAGTATACAATATACTATAATAGTATACTTATTACCCGTAAATTCACTTGTCTTTTCCCTTTTAATTTGTTTAAGCTTTTACCCAGCGTGAGGGGCAAATTGAAAATACAAAAAAAAAAAAAAAAAAAAATTATAGTATGCTATATGATGTAATGGTATACTCTTACAATTAGATCCTTTTAGAATTTTTTTAAATTTTTTTTGACAACTGATATTATTTCAGTTTAATAATTGAATTAATTTTTTTAACTCTTTGCGTACAATTATATACCCTGTTGGTATAGCTGTATACGATACTGGTATCATATGTTAGTTGATACTTTTTGGTTGTATTAACTACATTTAATTGGTACACAATTTGATTTTTCTTTATTAATAATATAAAAAAAAGAATAATAAAAAATAATGAAAACAGTAAATGAAATTAGATTATGAAGAGAAAAAGAATATAAAAAAACAGAAGTTAAATGAAATTAGAAAAGGAAAAAAGAAAAAAATAAGAAGAAAACGAGAAAAAAAAAAGGAGAAAAGAAAAAAAAAAAAGAAAAGAAAAGAAGCATAGAAATAAAAAAGAATTGGAGAATAAAGAAAAAATTCCCCACAAAACCTACTATGGGTAGGAAATGTAATTAGTTTATGGGTAGGAAAACAAATGGGTAGACAAGGATAAATAGTTTTGTTTTTTTGGGTAACTGTGTCAAAACCTCAAATAAAAACCTCAAATAGGTCACATGGAACCTGCAGAGATTTCTTACTTAAAGGGAATAGTATGAATGACAATCTTTTTGCAGTGAAAGGAATGTAATGTACTAATAGGCTCAAGAGAGTAATCTTTAAATGAAAGATTGAATTTTCAACATTCACACCCTTGAGCTAGTTACAGCAGTTTGGGTAATGAATACTTGACACTACTTTTTCCTTTTTCTCTTGGTAGATGGGTGCTTAATGTCACCAGAAAAAAAACTTCCAAGAGAATTGAACCAGATGTGGTGAAATTATCCTTTCAAATGATGAATTTCGAAAATCTCAATGACCATCGAAAACTTGAATACTAGATATACATATATCTACATATGTTCATTTATAAAATGCAAGAATACTATTTACCAATGAAGTCAGCAGAATTCTCAAAATGCGCTAAAGCCATTTAGTATAATGCACATCTTCCTGAATGTGTATTCTGTTAGGAATCATCTGTCTAGACGGCAAGGCAAGAAACATTGGCACTGCTAAATGTGTTCCAACAAGACAATTGCATTCATTTCCCATCAAACCATAGCATACACTGCTGTGTAGATAGATTTGTAGCATCCATGTACTTTCCCCAGCTCCTATAAAGACATTTAGCCACCGCATTCTTAAAGTGGTAGAGGATCTTGTTCAGTGCACTTAATCAGAAGCTACCATAGCCTTCACAACTTCATTTCAACTTCGACCTAGATCACATGGAAACAGCATGATTTAGACCACTTTGTCCAATAGCCTTGCTGAGTAATTCTTTTCCCGTCCTCCAAACAGCCTTTTGCACAATTGAGCCAAACCTCTGAAGGAAACATCAAGAATCAGTTCAACAGAAAACCAACCAAAATAGCTCCAAATATCAACGATGCCTGACTAGTTGACTGTAGATTCGGCTGGTGAAACGTCCTACTTCAAGTTGGCTGCTGATCAAGGTAATAACATGGCCAGTATGAGAAGAACACTAACAGGATCATAGTTCTTAAATTTTTCTTCAGCACCATGTTGTGCGGAAACATCAGCAGGACAAGGAACAGTGCAGCGTCTATCACGTTCACTTCAATGATTTTCAACCAAGATCAGAAGGCTGAACAATCCTCTCAACAAGAGAAACTTTAATTCTTAACCGTTATCAAGGTTTAAAGTCAGAGTCACACACTCAGATCCAGAAGAACCAAGTTGATCATTTGCATTATTCTACAAAACAGTATATTGTAAAAGAGTTTCATTTGATGAACCAATTCCAGCTTTATAAAAGAAAACTTCAGCACTAATTCTATCATCACCTCCATCATAAACTGCAGAGGTATCCGAATTGCCCTCATTCATGGAAAATTTGCATCACTGACGCATTTAGAATCAGAAGCTTGTTTTGGATCACATGTAGCTCATTTACCACATCAGATCTGCTTGGTTGATTCAACACTAAGACTGTAAATCCTTGCAAATTGCATAGGGAGTCGAGGTAGATGCTAAACCATGTCTATTGCTGCTGACTTCTTCTCTAGCACTTTGGACAGCAGGGTCTAGAAAACAGCTATCTACGCAAACCACACAAGTATCTTTCTGATTGTCTTTAGTGGCAGAACTATCAGAAGCTTCTTCAATCTGTTTTCTACCGATGTGCTCCCGGAAGAAACTTCAGCAAATGAAACAAGACCAGATTGTTACCAAGGAGGTCGGGCATTTTCTTCCTAAATTTTTTGATTGATAGGCTCTATACCAGAGTTGACAGCAATATTTGCAGGACCTAGTGCAGCATCTTCAGTATCAGGGCTGCCGTTACTTGCGCCAGATGGAGAAGAGAGCATTAAATTTGTGGCTGATTCAGCAAAATTCTTCTCTACCTCCATACTGGAGATTTGGATATCAGACTCGCAACAACCACTTTGTGCTCTAACCACAGTGCTAGCACTTAAATGAACAGCAGAAGCTGGAGAGCCAGAATCCATGGGACCAAACCCGACATCAGTTTTCTCCAGTATACTCACACATACGCCATCATGCAGGTGTGGATCATGCCTGATAGATGATTTCGGATCAGCTTTTTCAACCAAAGCAGGTGACGGAGAATGACTATGTTGTAAATCACAAGCTGCAGAAAACGTCGTACAAGTCAAAGTTAATCAAGAAGCGAAATGTTAAAGAAAAACAAAGACGAGGCAGGGACATATAGTTATCCTATTACCCTCTTGCATGTCTTCCATCAGTATCTTCTTTCGTAACATGTCTGTCCCAGGAAATACTAACATATTGATGGATTTCATTTCTTGCTTGTTTGATTCCTCAAGTTCCTCAAATCCAAAAACCTTGGTCCAGGTATGCAGATGCTCAGATATCGCAGGAATGATTAACTTCTCAACTTTTAAAGTAGAGAGAACCTGGATAAAGGATGTAAAAACTATTGGTATAATAATAAACGACATATAAAAGACAGAGATGATAAAGATGATGAACATGCTGTTGGAATACTCTAAATGACTTCTGCACAGATGCACAGGACAATTAGAACAGGCATGGCAATCACATAAGCTTCGCAGCATTCGTAAAAATTTAGGCCTTAAGAGGTCGGACAACATTAAATCTCATAGTGGGAAATGAAGACACAATGACAATGACCAAAGCTATATCATGTTTCTTGTGTCACAACAATATTACTGTAACTCAAATTAACAAAATAACTGTTTCAGTAAACTAAATGATGTGCTTTTGGATAAATACTTAAAAGATTTTCTCATACATTTCAAATATTAAAAAGATAATACAAGTGAGATGTCTTTCTTCCTACAGCATTTTACTTCTCTCTAATTTCACATTCAGTGGGACACTTCACCCTCCTATAAGTTCTTTTATATGAACAACCAAAGAAGTTACAATAGCAGTCGCATGCATGTAAAGGAACATGGGATACTTCGGCAGTGGGTCTGATAATGTGCATCAACTTAGAAGAAAAAATTAGAAGCACAAAGAAAGTATAGTTCTCATACTGTCTCAATAGCAGATAACAGTCGACGGCACATCCCTTGCCGCCTATATATATTCCGGGTCCCAATGAATGGCATTTCCGCAAGTTGAGTTCCACGGATCCTAACAGACAACCATTGAAAACAGTATTTACTGATTGGTAAGGCATGAATAAACACAGCACAAGCACAGATGACGCATAAGGAAAAGGAAAATTAAGAAATGTTTTAATGGCTTAGTAAATTCCTCTACATTTCTACATGAAATGCTAAGTCGAGAATACAAAGTAAATTACCAATATAAATTCGTTAAATTGTGCCCCTTAGATAGCTAGGAGTTTTACTTGTAAGAAAACATACAATCATCTTCTAGATAAAATGGGCAGCCCGATGCACTAAGCTCCCATTGAGCGGGGTCCGGGGAAGTGCCAGACCGCAAGGATCTATTGTACGCAATCTTACCCTACATTTCTGTAAGAGGCTGTTTCCACTTGCAGAAATATATAACAGCAAAAAGGAATAACAAAATTGAAAAATCCTACGGCCAGTAAATTTGGAGAACTAGCTACACCTAAATAAGATGATATAGATTCAGTCCAACTCTGGAACAGGATGGTCTGCCGAATATAAGTTCACAGTTTAATAAGTGCACATGCTCAAAAGAACAATGCAATTTTGTTAGAGATCATAAATCCTTTATGCAACGAACACCAATCTTCAAGAAATCTAAGATGATTCAGTTACAAAACAACACACAATAATGTCTAGAGCTCGACTTCTTCATATCTGAAAAACAAACTTGCACTGTAACATATGAACAAATTTGAGCAATCTAGCCTACCTTATAGATGCAACCGATATTATCTCGTCACCCCTTTCCAGAAGTGCAGTGTAGAAGCCACGGAAATTCAGCCGACTTAAATTTGAGCTTCAGAGGAAAGAGAAAAATTTCAGATAACTACTCAGAAATGAAAACCAAATGCAAAACGAAGGAAAGAAGAAAAGGACAGTAGGAGGGAAAAGATAGATGATTTATTGTAAAGACAGATTATTAGAGGAGGATTAATGTGTTTCGAGGGTGTGTACAGGGGCAAGATGACATATGGATAGAATGCATTGTGTTGTCCATGAAGTTAAGGAGAAATAAAAGGAAAAAGGAAAAAGAAAAAAAAGAATAGAAAAAATAATTCTAAAATGACATAACTCTCTTCTTTATTCCTCTGAGCATCAACCTAGATGAATAGATGTTAAATTATTAAAAGTGCACTGCCTCCCTTCACAATCAAAACGCTCTATCTGCTTCGTCCTAGTAGTCAGCCAGACAAACTTAGGAGCGCAATCGAAAAAAGGAGTAATCTGTCTCGTAAAGATGAAACTCATTATCTGGAGACCTCGACGTAAAATTACAAAAGTGGATTTCTATAACAAAAAGTTATGCTTTAACTTTTGAAAAACATACACAATGTATATACATAGTTATATATGTTGCTTTCATGGACCCAATGGAGAAACTGCAACAATAACTGAAAATAAAATGTGAAGATCATATGCCCAAACCAAATTGGCCAAATCAATCAGCAGCCAGCTCTTCCCAGGTGAAACAAATAATGAGTACCCATAGATTTTAGATCAGCCAAATTCAAAACCCTTGACAAAATTCTAAAAGCTGCATACCCAGTGTTGTAGAGAACGTTATGAATAATATTTATCCCACTTCTCCTGTCAACAAAGGGCAAGAAACATTCATCAATAACAGCCACTGCAACAGCTAGCTTAGAATTGCACTCCACCCGTTGAGGAAAGGGGCAACGAGAAATATCTGAGTCCAAATCTGTTCGTTGAATCAGGGACCATGAGAATCCTGCTTCAAGTTCATGTTTGACGCCAAGAATATTCTGTAAATGGTCATACAGCTGCATAATCAGAGAAGACAAATAAATCAAGTCATAAACATAAATCCCATGGGAGATCGCAACTCTGATAAGAGGCAGACAAAAGAAGCATATATATAGAATACAGTCTTTCACCATAACTAAAGAAAATGTCTCTCAGATCCAGTGAAAAAGTTTGCAAGAATTTAACTTAAGCTGTAAATCCCTCTATCAAAATTTGATTATACTACTTCAATTCAACAGCCAATTGACCCATTTTTGGAAAAAGATCAAAGAGATATATTTGTTTTTCTGAGAATAAATTCAGATGTTCAGAAATTACACGAAAACACTACTTGTTGAAACTTATAGATTGATGAATATACTTATAACCACCATAAGACAGACATCATTTTTTTTTCTCGAGTTCCGAAATAAGACAACCATTTTAAGACAGGGAAGAGGGAGTATCAGATGTTAGATAGCATTAGAAATTTGGGGAACACAAAACTATCAAGGAAATATCATACTTCTCAGATCACTATGAGAAAATGATATTACATTGTCCACCAAATCGAGAGGTTCAAAGATCAAGCCCTTGCAGGATGTCTTAGCAACCAGCAAGAAATCAAAATACAAGAAGTAAGGAGGGTGGACTTAGTGTGCGTTTGGACATAAGAATTGTAAAATTTCGGAAAAAAGTGGGAAAAAAAATTCAAGTGAAAATGGTATTTGAAATTTAGAGTTGTGTTTGGACATGAATATAAATTTGGGCTGTTTTTGAGTTTTTGTGAGTGAGCTGAAGTGAAATTTTTGAAAAAATAGCTTTTTGGAGTTTTTCAAATTTTCAAAAAATTCCGAAATTCATCTTCAAGTAAAAATAGAAAATTTCATGGCCAAACACTGATTTCGAAAAAAAGTGAAAAAAATTTCGAGAAAAGGAATTTTTTTTATGGCCAAACGGGCCCTAAAACTCCTACTGCTCATATTCAATTGATAATCGCAAAGAGCTCCATTTTAAACATTTCTAATCTTGCAGCAACAAGTCAAATTATGTCAATCACCTAAAACTCTATAGACATTTTACGACCTTCACTTCCTTCTTTTTCTCTTGAATTTCTTCCTAAGCTCTCAATTCCTAGAATTCATTAACGTGCACTAATCATTGGCGAACTGAAAGATACCAAAGATCATCACGCTACACACTCCAGCAGGCATTCAAGGAGGAGCAGAGAAGATTTGGCCTTTCAAAGCAAATCCTATAACAAGTACAAGAAAATATCTTTCTACCATCTCCGTTCAATGGTTTTGGACCTGTGATGAAAACAGTGCGTAGGAGCTTATGCTGAGTCCTCCTTGGAATAAAAAGTAGAACATAATTTAAAACTGGAGTTACTAATTGTGATTCTGAAATAGTTTCCACTATTTGATACTTATACTTCATGATATAATATGTTATACACCACATAAAGAAAAGAATTCACAACCAGGATAAGAGAAATACCTCCTGGCATTTCTGCCCACAAAATGATGCAGATGGATTATTGGATATTGCAGACAAAGCATCTGTCTCCAAACTGCATGATTTGTGATCTGCAAAGGGAAATCTAAGAATCCAGCTCCAATGTAGAAGAGTTAATGTGACAAAAACTTCAAGAAAAGTACACTTTACATTTTTTCTCACAGAGGCTGCAAGAAAGAATTTCGTTGACAGTTCTCTCACTATCCTCCTCTGGAAATTTACAAGCAGCTCCACAAAATTTGCAAGTGCAATTTGGACAATGCCAATGGCCTGGAGGAAGCATCTGCACCAAGAGGAAGCATGTAAATGCCCAGCTTCTTAAAAATCAGAAACTTCCTTTATAGGTTCAATTTGGCAAGCATGATAATAAAGATTAAGCAAAACTAGCTCATCCATCATCAGATTCACGTACATGATATAAGTAAATTACTAAAAGCATGTATGTTCAAATAAAAAACTCCATGTTTTGGGTTCATCAATAAGTCTGGATGGAGATGGAACTTCCCTAAGAGACCAAAGTGGAACTTCCCTAAGAAACTAACATCCTAATAATTTCTTTCACAAGTAAATAACATCCTGACAGTACTGTTCATTCTCATGGTAATTGTAATGCATTTTTGTCATTCCATACTGGGGTTGACACAAATGAATAATTTTAAACAGTTTTTTAGATGGAAGGAAGGGGATAGGATTAATCTGTGAAACACTTCATTGATCAGTATAACTGAAAAGTTTTGGTCAGAGAATGGTCAGCTGACAGAGCTTACACTGAAGATCATGATTCATGGGTCAGGAGAATTGCCTAGAGTTAGTTTTATCGTTGATTGCCTTTTGTAACTTGCCTCCTTTCTTTTACTTTTTTTTTTGGATAAGGTAAAGATAACCCGGCTCCTTTCCAGTTTCTATTGCGTTCCTTAAGGAGTCCATGCGGGGTGGAAGAGGCAGGCTCAAATTTAATGGTTAACTATACATGGACAATGAAGACAATACATTGCTAAGATGGATAGTGCAACCAGAAAAGTGCAAATCTGCTCCAAAGAAATATAGAAGGGCATGATGCAAGTCCTCAATAAATCCGTTCCCTTGCTTCTCTATATTTCTTTGGAGCAGATTGTCACTTTTAAGGTTGCACTATCCATCATAGCATCAAAGGAAAACTATGACAGTATGGAGTAACAGTGATAGATATAAAATAGCAGTGAGATAAAGAGAGAATATTCTGATTGATACATACTTGTATGCCCAGACAGCTCTGATGGAAAGTTGATGGACAACCATCACAACAGATAAGGTCCCCACCGTCACCACAGATACCACAAGCATCATCTTCTGGATCATCACCATCAATGCCTATACTGTAGAAATCCCGGCGACCAGATTCTTTTTGCCGATTCCATGTGTCAATTAAGCACTCTAGTAAGGAAGCTCCGGACTCTACAACTATGTTTTGAAATGGTTGATGCCGTTTACTTCCAGCATGGAGCTCAAATTTTGAAACTGGAAGGATTTTACTACAGCAACCACAGTGGACGCCATCTTGTGTGATCCAGCCTTCTAGTTTTACTCTAGTCCTTCTACGGTTCACATATTGAACCTTCTGTCTCAACTTCAATGTCCCGGAGTCAATCAACCAGGACAATAAGGTTCTTTTTCCAGTACATGGAACATAGCCGTCACTATCTGAACTTCCCCTCTTGTCAGAATGACGGACCAGCAATGTACATCGCCCAATTAATTTACTTTTTCTTCCGTGTATTGAATTAGAAGCAACTCCACCAGATGATTTTGCAACTGTATCCTGTTTAAGTCTCCTTACCTTCAAATTGTCACTTGAATTATCCCCACTCTCCTGGTCTATTGCATGTAATTTGCCTTGCAGCAACTTATCTTTCTTCTTTATATAGCTACCGAGCCTCTCCTCATGCTGAAGAGCCTCTCCCCTCACAGAAGTCTTTTTACGATCTTCTCTCTTGCCATCATCTTTTCTCTTCTTTTTCATTTCTTTCTCAATCTTTTTCCGTGTTTGCCTGGTAAGTTTATTAATTAAATCATCTGATATTGGAGCAAATGAACAAGAGCTGCCATCAGGTTTACTTTTACCTGAATCTACCTCAGGTCGTTTTTGAAATGCCTCATAGGCCTTAATTATTGACCAATAGGATGTTCCACTAGGATTAGTGTACACTGCATCCAGATAGTCTCTATTCTTTCTTGGTCTATAATCAATGGTCCATCCAGCTTCAAGGAGCATTCCCCTTATTCGCTCTCGCAACTGCTGCTTCTCAGTGCTCCCACCTCGTTTCACTTTTCCATCTTTGCTTTTAGCGGGGATAACATCTTCAGATGCTAAGGACCTGCTTTCTTCCTTTAGCACCCCCATTGCTGAGCTAGCAGGCACTGAACTAGGTGGTGCCAACTTAAGTGACGTATCAGTCTCATCTTTTTCAGAGGCTACTGAACGGATGATTTTACCCAACAAAGGTTTTTCCAGTTTCAGCTCATTTTTCTCTGTTTTAATAGACAAAGGTTGCTTTTCCGGGTGTTTAGAACCCAAGTAAAAGGACGGATGGACTAGTAAATTCCTCTTGACAACATCTGCCGACTGAGAACCTTTTCTATTTTCTATTTCCACAGGATCATAATCCTTGTGCATTAAGTCAATCTTCTTCTTCTTATTCAACATAACCTTTAATACCCCATTTTTCCCTTGCAATCTGATTGCTTCATGAGTGGGTTCTCTGGTCAACGAAATGGGCATACGCACTTCACCCTCTAACAAATCATACCTTCTCGTATAGCCATTGTCATCGCCCTTCATCCTACTACCTGAAAAACTACTTGAACTATCCATACATGAAAGCTTCCTCTTCTCAACCATCACACTCCCAGACCCACTCCCGAACTCTCTACAACTCCCTCTTCTTTCAATCATGTTCGATCTGACATCACTGTACCCATTCAATTGCCTTTTCACATCACATCCTTCATACTCGTTTAAATCAAGCAAATCCGCATTCCTACCAAATTCTCCATCTCTAACACAACTTTTTCCATAAACAACAGAACCATTACCGAATTTTTGACCATTTTTTCTCCGAATTGACTCTGATATCTCATCACAATACCCATCCAATTGCCTTTTCACATCACATTCTTCATACCCGTTTAAATCAAGCAAAGCCGCATTCCTACCAAATTCTCCATCTCTAACACAACTTTTTCCATAAACAACAGTACCATTACGAATTTTTTGACCAGTTTTTCTCCGAATTGACTCCGATATCTCATCACTATACCCATTCAATTGCCTTTTCACATCACATTCTTCGTAGTCATTAAGATCAAGCAAATTCACATTCCTACCAAATTCTCCATCTCTAACACCACTTTTCCCATAACCATTACTAAAAGATTGACCATTTTTCCTCCGAATTGACTCCGATAACTCATCATTCGACACGTGATCATTCATAACAAACCTTGGCCTCTTCTTCACCATTCTGTCATCTTTCTTTTTAATAATTAAACAACCAGAAGAGCTTTTTTTCTTCAATACACCCCCTCCTGATCTCACACTATCCTCCATTTTAAACTAAATCTCACAATTACAACACAAAGTCACATTTAAATATCACCTAAATTCTTCACAACTCCAAATTATACCTTCAGTTATTCAACATTACTAGATCTGAAGCATAACAAAAACAGTCCCAACTTTAGATACAAAGCGGCAGAAAATTATCAATTTGTAGATTAATATATTCAGAATTGAGTGAATTGAACGAGAGAAAAAAATCAGCGATCAATACCTGGCCGGAAAATTTCGGCGATCTGTCAATTTCACCGAAAAGTGATGAAATTGATCGATAAAGTTTTTTCCTGGCGAAAAAATCGAACCAGCAAATAGAAAAAGAGAAAAAGTTTGGTTTGGTTTTCACTTTCTGGGTTTGGTTGTATATATGAACAAACCACTTCTTATTTTTTTAAGTGCATGACCGTAAAAAACAAAAAAGGGAAAAAAAGAAAAGAAAAAAAGACGATGTATAGTTGTTGTGATTACGTCAATGGAATGGTTGTTCTACTAAGTTGTTAGGACTGTTTTAATTTATTTTATTTCTTCATTTGATTGGAAGAACTTTAATATATTTACCCAGATAATAATCTGCATTTTATTATTGTTTTTCTTTTACAAAGTTAAAAAGAAAAAGGACGAACCCATCTAAGCATGGCGGAGCTAGGTGGGGCTCATCCAGTCGCTCGAAAATTATATTATGTATATAAGTTTAATTCTTTTTATGTAGATATATTAGATGTTGACTCTCTTTGACTTTTTTGTGTGTTTACTTTTTTTATTTTTTGACTTTACTTAACGAAAATTCTGCTTCAACCACGACATCTGAGTTTGGAATTTTTCACAATGCAATTCAAACAGTGAATAGGCCTTTGTAGACCTTTATCAAATTAGAAGTGTCTTCGATAGACGATTAGAGAGAAAATAGTTGTATATTGAGTACATTTAGCTGTAAGTATTTGCAATCACCAAAGGATATGATGGAATGAATGTGATCCTTTGGTGAAATAGAAGTACCGTTAAATGGGCGTTGCGCAAATCAAAATTAGTCTGATTAGAGGATAATAGATCGTTGAACAGAAAAATTATACTATTTGTGCATTATGTTAGTGTATCACCAATAGTATAATTTGACTTAATCTTTGAAAAAATTCCTGATCAACTTTATTTCGTTAATGGATTTAATATTCATTTTTGGTATATCTACAAAAGCAATTTTGATCAGTATTTGTTGTTTTCAGAAGTGAAAAATACTATAGTAAGGAAGAAGAGAAAAAAAAAAGATAGAGGAGAAGTAGAATCCAAGGTTAGATTTTGGATTGCTGGGGACGCTTCAAGACTAGAAGTTAAAAAGACAAAGCACATTGTTTAATTCTACAAAGGGCAATTTAGGTAAAAATTTATATATTATTAAAAGGAGAAAAAATACGCATCCTATTAAGCCAAGTGGCATAGCAACAATTAGCCAAGTGGCACTCCTTTAAAACAAAGCTCCAGAAATTTTGGAGTTTGAAATATTAAGTCTGAAACAAATAATAACAAAATAGAGGAAAATCTAATGCAATCCTCTAAATCACTTACCCACTTCCCATCCCCCATTTTGCGTGCACATCCACTTGAACACAACCACTTGCATACATGCATACTGAAATATAGGATATTACACGGCAAAAAATGAGAGAGACCAAAATAACTGTCATCTTTATAAATGCGTTTACAATTGATCCTTTCATTTTATCTCCATCAGTTTTTAGAGGATAACTGCCATAACAAAGAAAAAATTATTACTCTATACTTTGAGTAGGATGGAAGACAGGGTTAATTTGGGTAAGGAAACGTCGAACAACCAAGGTTCTAATTAAGAGAACTCTCTTCTACATTGAAAGCAACCATATTGATTTGCGTACGGGAGCTTTATTTTTTATTTTTTTGTAAGTAACACTTTTCACCTTCTTTACGTTTTAAATTTTGTTTATGTTGGGTTTATAAAAAAAATTACTGTTTCTGCAGCGAGATGTTGCCCAGATTCTTATATGTTTACTAAAGTTGTTTGGCTTAATATCTCCTCTTATTTTAACTGCCTTTTTTGTGGATTCTTCATTTTTCTCTAAATAAATTAAATTTTTTCTTTTTTGTTTAATTTTAGGCGTAAAAATAGGGGATTATCACTATCAATAAAGTCAAACCATTTAATAAAGAAGATTAAGATTTTTTATTACAGAAAAAGAGAAATACTTCATATGATGAAGAAATGAAAAAAGAGCACTTGAGAATGACTTCAAAGTCCATGGCAAAAAAATATAGTGACGGTACAGACAAAGATATTTACGTGCTAACCACTAAGATTCGTATTCACTCAAAAAGCTCAAAAGTTACAACTGTAGAGAAGATTGTATCCAACGAAAAATAAAGAATAAAGAAACATAATATAAAACTAGAAGAAGTCTATTACATAAAATGTGAGACACAAATTTTAAAAAATTGGTTAACCAAGTTTAGTGGTTCGCATAACTTCATTACAACACTCTGATCTTGGTAAAGAAAAAATATATATAATACTGACCAAGACTCTGCAACACACACATTGACTCTACATAGTAATTATTTAGGCTAACACCTCTAAGACTCCTATAGGGAGCTTAAAACTAAATAAAAAACTGCAAAATGGCCACGTATCTCTGATAAATTACTCTTTTCAATATATGTATTACTCTGTGTTGTATGTTCATCTTCCTGATTGATCTATTGAGGAAATAATCTTAAATCCCAATTTCATAAATATGTAAAGAGAGAAAGCAAGTCTTTGATTTAATAGACCAACTTAAAGTTTAGTTACTTTTCCGTCCCAATTTATATGAAGATTGACCTATTTGGGAGTCAAACAACTCTTTCTTTGGTTACAATTTTCTCCAATTCTTTTCATATATTGTGAATTATTAATTATCCAGACTTATAGTAATTTTTATGTAGTTTTTAAATATGTAAATTTTATTAAAAAATACTCGAAGAATCTATATTTGAAATTGAGTCAAATGAAGAGCTATTTGACTCCCCAAATAGGTCAACCCTCATATAAGTTGGAATGTAAAGAGTAAATCTTATGTGATATGGATGGTAAGAACAAAGATATTATGCTATATCTTCTGATATCGCTACTTTGTTTGTATATGTGTGTATGTACGTTTGAATAGTCAAGTATAAAGTATTGTAAGATGATTAGCTCGAGAAGATGCAGGTTTTATGTTCCCTTTTTTCACATTAGCATTCTGCTAGGATAATCACATCTTTACCCATTAATCGGATGCTCAAAACTTTACTATCATTCTATGATAACAGAAAATTCATATGGGCAAATTTTATGTGTATATTTTGTTTGTGCGTCTAATCAAGTTTATCATGCAGTTAATAACTTTATTAAGATATGGAAGAATATGCTAAAGATATATGATCAAAACTCGCGCGAGTTTGCTATGACATATGTGGCTGAAAGTTGATGGAAACACATAGAAACATCAAAAGTATAAATATTATAAAATCTTAAGAAAATTAAATTGTTCAAAGCTTTCCTTTGGGAAATTTTTAAGCAATTTTACTTTATTTATAATTGATTAGGATACCTGCGGCATATTTTTTTAATCACGATGAAAACTACAATTTGCCAGATGCTTGATTCACATATAATCATAGAGCGTTCTCAATGTCTTCTTTCCTTAGATATTATTAACAAGCAAAATGGAGATCATTGAGGAATCTTAAAAGTAGAAAGCGGGCTACTATCAAACTCTGATGTTATATATAAACTAATGCATACATATTAGAACTATTATGCTTTGAATAAAGTTCTTCGGTTACAGTTATGTTAAGCTAATTATGCTTTACTGTGATGAACGCAATTATACTATGAAATAGCTTCAACTTTCAGTTTTTGTTTTCTTTACTACAACATCCGTGGATTATGCAAGTACTTATAAAAACAAATAATAATATACCCAGTATAACTCCACATTATGGGGTCTGGAGAGGGTAAAGTGTATGTAGTCCTTACCCCTACCTTGTGGAGGTAGAGAAGTTGTTTCCGAAAGCCCCTCGGCGGGTACTTATAATATATATAAAAGCAAGAACTTTAGATTTGTCATTGTACCAACTGCTTTATTATAATACGTCCATAAAATTTACATTTAGCTAAAATAAGGCAATAATTTTTTATGATTTTTTTCTCTAGCACTTTTCACGCATCACGTGGGTACTATACTAATATTTTCAAAGCAGTACGCTTATACAACAAGCGTCCTAACAGCTAAAAGCAGGTCGCCTATAAAAAACGCGAGAAAATTATTTTTAAAAAAAAGAAGAAAAAAGTATTTGTAAATAGTTTGCAAACATAGTTAAATAAAATATCCCTTTCTCTACAAAAACATAGAGTACTAAAAAACCCTCAATTTTCTCCTCTATCTTCGCTCTAAAATCTCAACTCGTGAATGAAAATCATCCTTTCTCCGTCTCTGAAGCAGAAGCTGAATATTACCTCTATTTTCTTAAAAATCTTGACTTTTTATCCTTTTTATACTTTCATTGCTTTGGTTTGCTTATACGACAGAATCTGTATATTTACCTATATTCTCTTTGCTTTTTTCTTTATCCTTTACTTTTTCGAAGCTTAAGTGAATAGGCAAACACCAGAATTTCTGAGTAGGCAATTGCCTAATTTAGAAATTTGCATTGTTACATGAATATTTTTCAATGGTCAAATACATAGACAGTGTTTACCTCGAAGATACGAGTAACAATTAAATTTGATTTGTGATTTTAAAGATATGTGATTTAGTTCAATACCAATTAATAATCAAAAAGTATAAAGTATAGATGAAAGAAATGAGTAAATCAAACCGGTGTTATTAGGCAGTATCGACCTAGAGCTCAATGACCTCGAAATGAATCAAGAGCAATAAAGCAAGAACAATAAAGTTAAAGGACAATTTTGATGAACAATGAGCGTAAAGTACATAGTATATTCTTTGCCAATGATTAGATGATGTTTACAAATGATTGGGGTCCCCTTTATATACTAAGGGGGCCCTAAATAAGGTACATTTTCATTTACAGTAAGGAATCTTATTGGGACAACTGTCTAACCGCCTAGTACGGGATCGTACAATTCTATTTCGGGTTTTGCGCCATGATTTTGGGGACGTGGCAGGAATCTCGCCCATTCTGTTACAAATCATAACGACATTATTTCGAGGTTGAGCATACTCGGCTTCAATACTCATCATACTTCGATCCTCGGGCATTGCACTCTACCTTCGAGCTCGAGTTTGATCCATCGAGCTCGAACTCGACCTTGCCTGAACTCGGGCTTAAGGCGACCCCTCGAGCCCGGAAAATCGGGCATACCTGATTTCGACCGTATACAGATAGTCCCCGCGTTTCTTAGAATAAGATGATAAGAAACGATTTGAACCTCGATCTTCCGGAGTCTTTAATGATGGCGTCATTCCCTTGACATAGGCGCTCAAAGTGACCGAAACGTCCCGTCGGTTGGCTTCCCCAAAACATTAAATGCATGCTAGTATGGTCGGCCACAAGCGCCGCCGTACCGTCGCCGCTCACCTATAAATACGGGGCTCTTTCTTTGAATTAAAAACTTTACTTCTTCATCACTTTTTCTCTGATCACCTTTCATCTTCATCTCTTTCTCTCATCATCCGCTTCCACCGCTCATTTAAGTGCCGGAAAATGCCAAGTTCCTAGAAAACACCACGCTCCGCCACCATTTGCATTTCTTAGCTTAAAACTATGGCCAAAACTTTGAAAACAGTCCCCCAAAAGGAGAAGGCACCATCTTCTTCTTCTTCCCGGCCGGCCAAACCAGTGGTGCCGCCGGCTCTTCACGAAATCACTCCCTGTACTTGTGTGATAAAGAAGGATTTCAACATTGAAAATCCCCCCGATAGACCAGGCCGATGCGAACATGTATCTCGATACATCAATTCGATATCGAAGAAATATCTCAAGTCCATGAAGAAGGACTGCGGCTGGGGAGACGAGGTCGTGGTACAGATCCTAAGCCCCGAGGAAAGCTTCACTACCCACGTGGAGGGGTTCTTAAGTGTTTACACTTACCCCTTCACATTGGGTCCCCTCGATCCGATAGTGATCGACTTCTGCAAAAGGTACGAGGTTACCCTCGGCCAGATCCATCCGTCATTTTGGCGCATCGTAATTATGCTGCGCTATTTTTCCAGCAAGGCACAGGGATTGGAGCTTACCCTCAACCATCTCATTCGGCTGTATCGGCCTCAGTTGTTTTGAGGGCTCATCAAGCTGCAACGTTGATCAAAAAAGGCCTTTTATTCTAGTAATGATGAAGACAAAGATCGAGGCTGGATGAGCCAGTTTATTAGAGTGAGGACCTTAGGGAAAAAATGGCATTCCCGGAGAGATGGAACTTTAATCGTAAGTGAAGTTCTTTTCCAAATACCTACCCATATCCTGCTTTCGTGTTTCGTAATGCCTTTACCTTTTCTGCAGCTGTCGCTTGGATGCCCCACGCTATCCCTGACCTCGAGGACTGGGTCCAAAAGTTAGCTGCGACCTCCTCGTATGATGAGCGCAAATGGCGCAATTTATCAAGGGGCAAATGGGACGCCAAACATCATGGTTATTTCTCTTCCCAGGTTTTGATACTTTTTTTTATCAGTGATGCCATCTCATTTATGCTTATTTGTGCAGGCATTAGAGATGTCTTCGAAATGAGGCCACCCCCGCCTGGGGAAAAGACCGAGTCCCTGACTCCGAAATCGGGGAAAGACAACAAGAGAAAGAGGGATTTGAAACCCAAAGATCCCCAGGATAAGGGGGGCCCTACTCGAAAGCCAAGGAGGAAACTTATCCATGTGGACTTGGATTCAACCATCCAACATTTGGAAGATGAAGAGAATGAGGGCGAAGAGTTGGCACTGGTGCCCCGGACTAGGAAACCAGTCGAGGCCGCCAAGTCCTCCGAACCTGAGACCTTGCCTCATGATGAAAGAACTCCGAAGAAAGACTCGGGCAAAGCCTACGAGTCCGCCAAGATCGAGATCATTCCCCCTCCTTCAACAAGTACGCCGGAGGGGGCAAGTGCCGAGAGGTCCGAAGCTAATCAGAGAGCTCCGAGTGAGGAGTTTGGGGACGTGACAATGGGTCATTCACCTTCTCTACCGTCTTACTCCGAAGAGGTAATAAAGGACGCTCGGGCTCTGGGAACGCCCGACTCGAGAAAGGTTCTCGAAGAAGATCTTTTTCGAGATTGTTTCACCGGGAATGACGATGCTGTTGACCTTAATGATGCATCCACCCTCTTCGAAGAGGCTCAACGTCTCTTCTCTTAGGTAAACACTAACTTTCATTGTTGTAATTTTCTTTTTTCCTCCCCTTCTTTTGACTAACGTGACTTCGTTTCGTGCGTAGGCCATCAACAAGTTTAGGTCCGAGCTGAGCCAATGTGAGGCCAAGCTCAGGAAGGCTTCAGGTGAAGAGAAGGCCTTGAGGCTCCTCTGTAGCCAAAAGGAGGAGGAGCTCAAGGACCTTCGGACTGAATTGGCCAAAGCTCGGAAAAACGAGGCCGAGCTAGATCAGCAGGTAACTGTGATTTTAACAGAGTATGGTCTTCTTGGCCTTACTGCGGAGGCTAACACTTCGATGTCTCAACTGCACCAAAAGTTGGAGATGATTGGGCAGCTCCGGGGCGAGGTCAATCGAGTTAAGGCTGACTGTCACCAATGGAAAGAGAACATGGATCGGCTCGCTGCTGCTAAAGAAGCTATTCTAGCCCAATTGGCCTCGGCTGAGACTCAGCTCCGAGGTGTAAAAGTGAAGAATCTGGCCCAGGCCAAGAAAATCGAGGAGCTGGAGGCAAGTCTTGCCAAAGCTGGGGCCGAGGTTGTAGAGGCCAAGGCTGAAGTTGAGAAGACAAAGGCAACGGCTGATAAGACTATTGCCGTATACTTAAGGGATGTCGAAGCGGAGCTAAGGGAGGCCTCCGACCGGGAAAAACGAAGTAATGATTTGGCCAATTGCCAGGACCAGAGGGAGACTCTTAAAGAAATCCATGCCCGAGGATTCGACCTCACTGAAGAAATAGTCCAAGCAAAGGTGCTGGAAACCGATGCTAGGTTTCTCGTTTCTTCTGATGATGAAGATTCCATTAGTGGTTCCGAGGGCGGGGAAGAAGAAGATGGAGTCCCCGAGGAGGAGGTTCCTGAAGATGTGACTCTCGAGGATGCAACTCCCGAAGATGTGGTTCCCGGGGATGCGGCCCCCAAAGTAGATTAGGTTCTTGGCCTTTTTGTTTTTGTTTCTTTTGGGTAAGGGCCCATTGTGGGTGCTGTAAATATATTTTGTAAATAAATACAAAGAATTCTTTGCCTCGTCTCTAATTCGTACTGAATTCCGCATTGTCTTTATTTTGTGAAAAATTTTGATAACAACCCTCACTTTTTGAGCGATAAGTGGGCGATCTTCATAATAGAATACCTCTTAAGGTTTTTGTTAATCCTCGAGCTAAGCTTAAGTTGATTTGACGCGAGCTAGGGATGATGGGACTCTTGAGTCCGAGCTGGGTGAAAATAAGGTCTCGAACTCAGCATTCTTCGGCCCTTAGGCTATTTTATATTGGCCCTTAGGCTCTTTTAGGTTGGCCCTTAGGCTCTTTAGGTTGGCCCTTAAGCTCTTTAAGTTGGGCCAATTCGGCCTCTAAAGTGGCTATCATTTTTCCCTCTTTTCGGCTAAAAAACTTAGTGAGAACTTTTCTATGCCTTAGCATGTGTATTTTGTACCCGCTGGGTTTTTGTACCTCTTGAGATTTTTTCGAAGGCTAATGCTATCGAAGCCTTTAAATTACTCGAGGGCCGATTTTATCAAAGCTCTTTATCATTTGCTTTTGCCTAGGGTAGCCTGATTTAACCGATTTTTCAAAGTGTTTGAAGGCCTTTAATTTTATGTCCGAAGTCGGATGTCTCCGAGCCGCACTATTTTGGCCGTAGACTTTTTATATGACCGTAGTCTTTAATATGGCCGTAGCCTTTAATATGGCCGTAGCATTCGGGTATGTCTCTTGGACTTGTTTCCCGATAACCTTTCGAACTTGTTCGAAAGGTTAGTCCCCAAGTATGATTGCCTTGGCATTTATATCGAGGAGATGCCTCTTTTGAGGTATTATGAGTTCGAGTATTCGATGACTCGGATGTGTTGACTGTCGATGACAGTCCCCGAGTATTTGTGGTGCATTTGCATTCTGGCTCTTGAGCCGTTTCTCGTAGAATTATAAGTATGAAGCTCGTATAATAGTAGACTTCTTTGATACACAAAGTGTTTTGATATAGCAAGAATGCTTCTTTGAATAATTGATACATGCGTACATGTTTTACCGTCGGGGCTCGACTATTCTACATGGACACGGTTCACTTGACCGTTTGGCCCATTACAAAGTTCTCCTATCGAGGGCCCTCTTTGGCGTGAAGTATTTTCCTCGAAAATACAACCTCCGAGGATGATGCCCCCCAGTATTCTAGGTTGATTGAAAAGAAACCTTGGATACTGTTGAGTTCTCCTTAGGTAGCACATAGTTGTTGCCTCGTTAAAAACCTCACCAATAAAACCCATTTGGGACAAAATCCTATCTAAGGGAAAAAGAGTGCAACGCGAGCTTTAAAACCTAAGGCCTTCGTGTAGAAAAGTGTCTTCGATGTCTTCTATTGGTCACCTGCAATGGATTAGTTTCAAATTCAAATGGACAAAAGGATAAAGTCATACCTTAGCAATAGTAACGTTTGAGTAGTGATACGTTCAAATTGTTTGGCAGTTGTTCAACTTCCATTGTGCTGAGTTTGTAAGATCCTTTACCGACAACTCCGAGGACTCGGTACGGTCCTTCCCAATTCGGGCCTAGTTTCCCTTCATTCGGGTCTCGAGTATTGAGGGTGACTTTTCGTAGAACTAAGTCCCCGATTCCAAAATGCCGAAGGTTGGTCCTTCTATTGTAGTATCTCTCGATTATTTGCTTTTGTGCTGCCATCCGAACAAGTGTTGCCTCTCATTTTTCATCTAATAGCTCCAGGCTAGTATTCATAGCCTCGTGATTTGACTCCTCCGATGCATGTCGAAACCTGCCGCTGCGTTCTCCGACCTCGACAAGGATTAAGGCCTCGGAGCCATATACCAAAGAGAACGGGGTGGCCCCCGTGCTGGACTTCGATGTCGTTCGATACGCTCATAGGACCTCAGGCAAGACTTCTCTCCATTTTCCCTTTGCATCATCCAACCTTTTCTTTAGGTTTTGAATGATAGTTTTGTTTGTTGACTCGGCCGGTCCATTCCCGATTGGGTGGTATGGTGTTGATAAGATCCTCTTTATTTTATGTGCTTCGAGGAACCCCGTTACCTTGCTGCCGACGAATTGATTTCCATTGTCACATACAATCTCGGCAGGTATCCCGAAACGGCATATGATATGGTCCCAGATGAAGTCAATAACTTCTTTTTCTTTGACCTTCTCGAAGGCCTGTGCTTCCACCCATTTAGAAAAATAATCAGTCATAAACAAAATAAATTTAGCTTTAACTGGGGCTGTTGGTAGAGGGCCGACTATGTCCATTCCCCATTTCATGAAAGGCCACGGGGATAGGACCGAGTGAAGTTGTTCTCCGGGCTGATGGATCATCGGTGCAAACTGTTGGCACTTATCACATTTTTTGACAAACTCCTTAGTATCTTTTTCCATGCTGTCCCAGTAATACCCTGCTCTAATAATTTTATGAATCAAAGATTCGGCGCCGGAGTGATTCCCACAAGTACCTTCGTGGATTTCTCGTAGTACATAATCGGTATCCCCTGGCCCTAAACATACCGCTAATGGTCCATCGAATGTTCTCCTGATGTTCCATCTTCATCTAATGTGAACCTAGCAGCCTTGGTTCGTAGGGCCCTCGATTCTTTGTGGTCCGGTGGAAGTTTTTCCATTTTTCAAATAATCGATATACTTATTCCTCCAGTCCCAAGTCAGGCTCGTAAAATTTATCTCGGCATGACCCTCTTCAACCACAGACTTCGATAATTGGACGACTGTCCCAGGGGAGATATCATCTTCTTCAACCAAGGATCCCAAATTAGCAAGTGCATCGGCCTCACTATTTTGTTCTCGAGGCACATGATCTGGAGTCTACTCTTTGAAGCGGTGTAAAGTTACTTGTAGCTTATCCAAGTACTGTTGCATCCTATCCTCTCGGACTTCAAATATTTACTTGGTTTACCACTAACAGTGAATCGCACTTGGCTTCAATGACTTCTGCCCCCAAGCTCTTAGCTAGTTCGATACCTGCAATCATGGCCTCATACTCGGCCTTATTATTAGTCAACCTAGAAGTTTTGATTGATTGTCTAATGGTACTACCTGTAGGTGGCTTCAAGACAATGCCAAGCCCGAACCCTTTCACATTCGAGGCACCGTCCGTGAAAAGGGTCCATACCCCCGATAATGTACCTGATCTTAGAAGGAGTTCTTTCTCCACTTCGGGTACGAGGGTCGGCATAAAATTGGCCACGAAGTCAGCTAGGATTTAAGACTTGATGGCCGTTCGGGGTTGATATTCGATATCGTACCCGCTAAGTTCGACGGCACATTTGGCCAACCAGCCCGATATCTCGGGCTTATGCAAAACATTTTGAAGAGGGTAAGTGGTTAATACACATATGGGGTGACACTGAAAATATGGCTTTAGCTTTCTAGATGAGCTTATCAATGCAAGTGCTAATTTTTCTAAGTGATGGTATCTAGTTTCAGCATCTCCTAGAGTTCGGCTTACATAATAAATAGGGAATTGCGTACCTTGCTCTTCTCGGACTAGTACCCCACTTACCGCTATCTCGAATACTACCAAATACAAGTAAAACTTTTCATCTACCTTCGGGGTGTGAAGCAAAGGTGGGTTCGATAAGTATCGCTTCAATTATTCTAAGGCTTGCTGGCATTCCGGGGTCCATGCGAAATCTTTTTTCTTTTTGAGAAAGGAAAAAAACCTATGACTTCGATCTGATGACCTTGAAATGAACCGACCTAAGGCAGCTATTCGCTCTGTTAGCCTTTGCACGGCCTTCACACTATCCACGACCGTGATATCCTCGATGGCCTTGATCTTGTCGGAGTTGATTTCGATACCCCGATTCGACACCATGAAGCCGAGGAACTTACCCGAGCTGACACCGAAGGCACATTTTTCCGGGTTAAGCTTTATGTTAAACTTCCTCAAGATTTTGAATGTTTCCTGTAAATGAGTTAAATGGTCCTCTACGGGCAGGGACTTAACCAACATATCATCAATGTAAACTTCCATCGATTTGCCTATCTGTTCCTCGAACGTTTTTTTAACTAGGCGTTGGTATGTAGCTCCTGCATTTTTAGACCGAAGGGCATTACATTGTAACAATAAGTTCCAAATTTGGTGATAAACGAGGTCTTTTCCTAGTCCTCCGGGTTCATCTGAATTTGATTGTACCTGGAGTAGGCGTTGAGAAAAGTTAGGATCTCGTGGCCAGTCGTGGCATCGATCATACGATCGATGTTGGGCAGCGGGAAAGAGTCTTTTGGGCATGCTTTGTTTAAATCCTTGTAATCCACACACATTCTAAGTTTGTTTCCTTTTTAGGAACTACGACTACGTTAGTTAACCATTCGGGGTATTTTACCTCCCGAATAGGCCCTATTTTAAGAAGTTTGATTACCTCGTCCTTTATGAATGCATGTTTTACCTCGGACTGGGCCTCCTTTTTTGCTTTACCGGTTTGAACCTGGGGTCGAGGCTTAACCGGTGTGTTGTGATTTCCAGTGGAATCCCTGTCATATCTAAATAGGACCAACAATCCATATTATCAATAAGAAATTGAATGAGTTTTTTCCTGAGTTCGGGGGTTAATCCCGTTCCCAGGTATACCTTTCTCTCGGGAATATATTCGATCAGTATGACCTGCTCTAGTTCCTCGACCGTTGATTTGGTTGCATTGGACTCTTTGGAAACGATGAAAGTTCGAGGAGTAAGGAAATCCTCTTCTTCGTCTTCGATTACATGTTGCTCCGATTCCGTCAAGGCTGGGGACGGTGATTGCTATTTAGCCGCCTGCTTACCTTTGGTGCTCGACTTCTCCGAGGTCGAAGGCTCTGGTATCGGCGTCCCTTCATCGACTGCAAACATTTCCTTTGCAGTTGTTGCTCTCCGTAGAACGTTTCCACACCATCCTCCATTTGGAACTTCATCATTTGATGAAGAGTTGAAGGTACCGCC